GAAAGAGAGTGGGCTGTGCGAATGCAATGATGATCACTCAGAACATCAGTTACAGACAAGCAACCTGGGATGTTGTGTGTGTGTGTGTGTTCTCTTTGCATCACACAGAGCCAGTATGGTGTAGTGGTTAGAATGCTGGATTAAGATCTGGTAGACCCAAGTTGGAACCCCTGCTCTGCCATGGAAGCTTTCTAGATGACCTTCAGCCTGCTTAAGCTACCTGACAAGAGTTTCTGGAAGGATAAGAGAGAGAGGAGAACGATGTAAGCTGCTATGGGTCCTCACCGGGGAGAAAAAGTGGAATATAAATGAAGTAAGCAAAGGATAGGCAAAGACAAGCTAGCTGACATATATGGAAGCAGATACAGCTACAGTTAAGAGAAGAATGCATTTAGCACTACCTTGCCGAAGGACAAACTGATGTGAAAGACTGGCCCAGATGGCTGTTCTGCAGTACCAGAAAGAAGGATCTTTCTGCCGAAGGCACTGCCTACAAAACTGTCTCCTAGCCCTGCTCTGGTGCAAATCTTTCAGCACTTGGTGCTGCAAGGTGAGACAAACAGGCCTAACTTTGGCATACCCAAACTATGGACAACCAGTCTCAAGTAAGCCTTAGTCAGGAACCATACACGGGCAACAGTCCCTTAGTGGCTGAATCTCCCAAAGTGGTGTCCGTGCCAGCAAGGTGAATTGCTGCTAGTGTAATCTGTACCTGATGTACCTCGCCTAAACACTGCATGCTAGGCAAGAGTGACAGGTGCAGGGACACTTTGTTTGCTCATGTGGCATTTTATAACCATGCTGGTTGTAGCCACCTGCACTACCTATCCTTGCAGCCGTGGGGAAAAAATGTCAAGCTACTTGTAGACTACCAAGATGACAGAGTTATCTTTCCTAAGATAACTGTGGCTGATTGATGGTATGTCTGCCACAATGACCCATGTCGTGAGAGTCACTTGAGATGCTGGTGGTATAAAAAGAACTCCATGACATAAGGGACAAGAGCGAGTCCACAGATGAGGCTTCTGAGTGCTCCTGATGAAATATTTAAAAAAATTTCCCCTTAAAGTCCAGCACTGCTCAGAGATTATAGTTGAGCGAACACTGGAAAGGTCTCTTCTTAGTCTTATGAACTGCACCCACTACAAAAGCAAGCTGCCATGAGGCCTAGAAATCTCCAACTTATCTTGCAAAGGCTGGAAAACAGATTTGTGAGCAAGACCATCCTGTACAGAGCGAGGAAAGCCCTTGCTGAGACAGAGTAAATGGTGTGAGGGACAGATGCAAGCTCCGCCCTCCAGGAACCTCAGCCAGTCATTTTCAAACAGTGGACTGTAATGGTGAAAAGAAAAAGGAGTTTAACTACTGGCCAACTGACAAGAGTTGGAAGTTGTTGTACTTTGATGGGAGAAGGGTTAGGAGGTGTGCTGGTTTCGCAGGGAGTCCATCAGGAAAACAGTGCTGCAATTACCTGTAACTTGTTCATTGAGATGTCTTCCGTGCACACATTGGATCTGTGCTTGCACAGGACAGCCACCGGGGGCTCTCTTACAGCTACTCTGGTATTTACTCAACACCCTCCCCTATAGAGTCTATTAGAGGCTGTTTTCCCACCCAATGGTCACATGCTCTGCAGGGAGGAGCCCCCCCATCAGTCCTACTGAGCTGCCATGAGTGCCACAAATGTAGCTATGAACTCATAGCGGGGTAGGAGGGAGGAAATGTGTGCCTGCACAAAAGACATCTCAATGAACAACAGCTAAAGGTAAGTGCAACACTGTTTTCATCTTCAGTCTTCTGTGCAGTCCCACATTGGGAGACTATAGAGCACCTTACCTTGGAGGTGGGATGAGTTTCATTGGAACAAGGAGTGTAGCGCAGCTTCACCTTCTCTCAGTCACACCAACAGGATAATATTTGATTGGAGAGCCAGTTTGGTGTAGTGGTTAAGTGCGCGGACTCTAATCTGGGAGAACCGGGTTTGATTCCCCACTCCTCCACTTGCACCTGCTGGATGACCTTGGGCAAGCTGTAGTTCTGGCACAGCTGTTCTTGAAAAAGAGCAGTTTCTGTCAGAGCTCTCTCAGCCCCACCTACCTCACAGGGTGTCTGTTGTGGGGAGGGGAAGGGAAAGGAGTTTGTAAGCCACTCTGAAACTACTTTGGGTAGCAAAGGGTGGGGTATAAATCCAATCTCCTCCTCTTCTTCTTGATGGTGTTTGAAGATGACCACGTCACTGCTCGGCAAACGTCCTCTTTGAAATGCTGCCGAAGCTGCCTGCGCCCTTGTAGAATGTGCTCAAAACTCCAGAGGGCACGGTAGACTAGCCTGTTCATATTCCAGCCGAACAGCCGAGACTATCCATCTAGAAATTGTTTGCGCTGAAGCTGGCTTCTCTTTTGAGTTACCAGAGAAGCACACACACGGTCGCAGGTATTTAAATAAAACAATTAAGATCTCTTCCCATCTAAAGAATGTAACATTTTTTCTGCCTCAGAGGTAGGAGATGGAAAGAATACTGTGAGGAGCATCTCCTGGGAAAGGTGGAAACTAGAGACAAACTTTAGTAAAAAAAAAAAAGTAAACTAGGTCTCAAAACTACATGGCTAGTTCGAAACTTAATAAATGGGTTGTCAGCTCT